GCAGATCAAAATTTTTAAAATGACCTCCACGAGGCTGCTAAAAATCCCTATAGAATATCATTTATAAAACTATATACAAATTTTTTCTTGTATTTGAAAACTTAAGATGTATGTCAACAAAACTACGGACTCAAAAAACGTTTTTTCATTACTTTATCAGTCCCAAGTAAGATTGTCAAAATTTTCGACCGGGAAAGTACAAAGGGGTGGAGCGTGTTTGTAAGTGGAAGACTAAGAGTAGTTAGTATAGTCCCCTTGCACACCTGTGCACTTTTTTACATCTAAAGCCGATTGAACTAACGCAAGAGGCGTATAAAATAGATCTTTGAAACCAAATCTCCAAAAACAAAGGATTACGATACTCTATTCGTGTACTATCCTTCAGCGACGTTTAGTAATTTGTCCCTGGAACTAAAGGAGCAAATACGGCAAGGAGACACGTTCACTCGCGGCGAACTTTGTGACACCCTCGGTTTCGGTCGCTTCTGTTACTGGCTGATTCGCGTAAACGAAGATCGCAAATGAAACAGAATACGACGAAGTGAGATACAAGTGAAAGGAATGGACGCCAATAATCATTCTATATCGTTGGAGAACAGTACTTTCATCAATAAAAATCATAAACTTTGACTAAACAACTTTCATAAAGTGCGGTATCCGTCAATTTTCCGGGTTCCACAAATCCAGTGTGAAATCCCCGTGAAAAGCGGATAACACCGGTAAGCATATTTTGCCTCCGTAAAGGTGAAACGAAAGGAAAAGTCTGTTGTTTATCTCTCATTTACCCGTACTCCGTCATGTTACATCTAGAATCCGTCGTTAAGCGGGTTCAAGCGTCGTTCAAACACCAAAAAACTGTGGAAGAAGCAAAACAGAAAACGCAGAATTAAGCAAGCGTCAGTTCATCTGGGAAACTATGTTCGGAGCGAAACATCAGGCAGTGCCCGCGGCGCGCGAGCTTACGCGAACGCGTGTTGTACAAAGGATGAAAAATGAAAAAAAGGAAGCGTTGCACCGGTTTGAAGCGCCAACATCTTCAAAGGGCGTGTAAAGCCGCGCGATCGATATTTCCGGCGTTTTTCACGCGCGAAAATCTACGAGGGTCGCACACAAAAATTCCTAAAGTTTGACTATGGGTAAGATGTTCCTAGGTGGAGTCTTCCGCATGCAAAAACTCGTGAAAATTTCAAAAGCTTTGATGCGGATGGATACAAGTTTTTGAATTTCGTAATCTTGAATCTATCCGCCATCATGGGATACGTGTGAATTTTCGAACACGCTTCGACAATTTCTTTAACTTAATGAAATTTGAGATTCCGAAGAAATGGTAATTTAGTGACAGAATAATAAAAAAATACTAGTATTTATACTCTGCATTTAAAAGAAACACTATTTAAAACTATTCTAACATAAATTAAGAAAATAATATTTTCCTATAAACAAAAATCTCAAGAATATTGTAGGTAAATTTCGAGAGTTTCAAGTAAAATTTACCGAATCATAGACAAAACGTGGTTTCAGGTTGCAGATACATATTTGTTCTACAATAATAGTAGACATAGAACAGTAATGTAACAGTACAGAAACAAAAAATTATTTTCTGTGAATTGCCTAATGTTTGACGATTTTGACACACCACAGTCGTTGCGTAGATCCGAGGACATTTTCACGCGTGATCGTCGCGGATCCGATAATTTCTATCTTCTCCGCTATAAAAGAATTCCGCGAAGACACGTAAATTGCGATGGGACGTGAGTCGCGAAGAAGAATTAGAATCGCGAACAGTTCGACGAGTGAATGCGGCGTTTCGCACGTTTCATCCCCTCGGAAAATATTCGTTCGTCGGACGCGTCGCGAGACAATGATGTTTTCTGCGTTCCAGAAGCACTTCTTTTATATTCTCGGAATCGTGTTTTGTGAAAAGGATAGTGAGAATAACGATTAGACAGCGGATCTTTGTGTAAATTCAAATTTTTATGAACGTGATTGGTATAACGGAGTTACAATACGAAATGATTTTTCTGGGAAACATTATGAGAAACACTACACTTCAGATATTGCATAATATTGTTTAATCTTCAGATATTTATAGATACATCATATTATATAAATATAATCGAAATCTGCGAGCCTCTTATAAAAGGGAAGTGTACAGTAAATGCGAAAAGTTATATAACTCGCACCGATATTGTAAATACGCCACCACTGTATAAAAAAAATGATTATTGGGATTACTTAGAAAATAAAGTGTTTCCAAAACACGTTTAAGTCGAATAATATAATTGCTGCCTTATACTAAATTCGAGCGTCATCTGTTGAAGATAAACCCCTTGTTGTATAATACAATGTCAAATTCGCGAAAAAAATCTTCAATTAAAGTCGACAAATATTGTTTACTTTATTTCGATATAAGTTAAACATTACTTTTCTATTATCAACCGTTAGAGTAAACGTATATATAAAATAAATATCAAATACTTCCCTTTTCTTCTAACATTACGATAAAGTAGTTGTATCAATCGCAATAGTGAAAACAATCATAGAACAAGGGGTCAACAAGAACACCGTGTGCTGCGAAGATAAAAGTAACTTATCTTACGGTCCCAAAAAGATAAACGGTGCCGCGAATCGCGGAAAAGAAGGGGTAGCGCGTACTCGATTCCATGCACCGGAAATGAACGTGTTAATGTTTGATGCGCATTCTTTTACGGCCTGAGTCTTCATTTAACCGACACGACGGCCAGGCAAAAAGTTTTCAATTTTCGGAGCTCATTGTCGACACCCTCGGACTCTACTGCGTGACATTTATTGCGAAAGCGAACGTGATCTATGGCGGCGCGCCGCGCCAGTTTTGCGATATCTAACCTCCACTTCCCGCCTTGTTCGCTCGACCCTTATTGGAAATGCGAGAAAGGGAAGCGCACGGATCGCAGCGTTTCGTAGCTTCGTATTGCTATTTGCCCCAGCCCCGAGCGAAACAATTGGCCCGAGTGCTCTCGATGAAACTATATCCACTGAAATTACCGGCAGGACCGTGACAATTTTCGAAACGTACCGTATCCACGGCAATTGCACGAAATTGTTACTGGTCCGCGCGCTTATTTTTGGCCTCGGAAACGAATTCTCGTGCTCCGAAATAATTACACGTATGGAACTCTCAGTCGCGCCACGGACAATTACACGAGCCCTGATTCGTCCTCATACATCACTGGTTCTTAACCTGGGGGTGCAAGAAAGCATTTCCGAGAGTGCAAAAGAAATTTCCAACTTTCCGATTGAAACAAAAGCGAACGTCAGAAATCGTCTAATCTTGTATAGGCAGAATTTTTGTTTGTGACTATAAACAAAATGTATGTAGTATAAAATTAACGAACAAGAACCTGTAAATACGAATAAACAATGTATTCAATAGTTTTAATAATTATATCAAAACGAGTATACCTTGTAATATTGAAATTACAATGACGTTAAACTTTCATGTGTGAGCGTATAAGAGTTGAAGTTAATTAATTACATAATTTTATTCGCCACTTTGTTATGCAAAATGAAATAAATCAACGATGCCAATATGTTGGTATATGACTTCAACGTCACACGGACCTGTAGAGGGTTAACCAGTTAACTGCGTACAAGTATACACGTCGCCTTAAATCGCAAAATGGTATTAATTTTTTCAACGATGAATTATTTATTTTTTCAGATGAACATGTCATTTTTCATCGTTTTGTTTTAGTTTATCGTCAGAATATATTATAGATGCATTTTCCGTGCATCTGACGAGTATACATTTTATAGTTTGATTTTATTGCGCGCACAATAAGAGATTTTTGAAACCAAACTCCACGCTTTACACTTTAAATACGAGTGATGACCTACATGCGGCTCATTTAAAAAAGAAGCCTCGCTTTCAAAGTATTATATTGAATAAACAACCGCTTAGCTGTTAACGTACGTGTTCATTTTTCAAGAAATAAATTATCTTGCAATAGATGCAATTTCTTGAATAAAAAAATAAAAAGACATTTTTCAAGGGGGTGCGAAAACTTATTTTCAAGGTAAAGAGATGCCGATCACTACAAATGCTAACAATCACTGTCTTAGATGAACGATCATCTGAGAGGGTTATTCACTTTAGTGGGAGATGATTATTTTTGTATAGTCTGTAAAGTCTGCGATTATTCCACGCTTGCTAATTCGCAAGTACTGAAAGCCTATAGTTGTCTTCGGTTCGAAATTCCACCACGAGGCGACTGCAATTAGAAAGATCGAGAATTAATGAACAGTAAAGGGGTAACGGCGTTTGACGCTCGGAGCACTGATGTCTGATTTAATTAGTTGGCACCGACGCCGACGTTAATTCCATTTCTCCTCCAAACTAAAATATTATTCTGGGAAACGTTGCTGGCGTGACTTACAAGTTCTCTTGTCGGCGAACAAGTTCGCCGTTGCCGTCGCCCCTTTGCTTCTTCCGCTTATTTTTCCACTTTGAAGGGTCGAAACCGTCTCGCTTCGTTGCGCACGACCGAGAAACAACGTTTCGCAAGCTGCAGGCCGCCTCGCCGTAGACGCTGCAAGACAACGAACACCAAAAATTCTGATGAATTTCGTTCCGCGTTTCTTTGCCCGGTTTCATTCTGAGAATTAAGCTTTTGCCAAGCCATTCGAACATTCCCGTTACTTCTTCTGACGTCGTATCTCACAGTTTCGCGTTTAATACTCTTAATGTGTTTATTGTGTGATTAAGATGGAACATTAATCGTTTTCTTGTTCCATGGAATGCTTTTCGTAAATTGGAGAGAAGCGTTTAATTGGAATTTATACGATGCAGGATTAATACAATTTAACTGTGTCTATAAATAGTAAATATCTTATTGATGTAATTAGCGAATTATATATGTTATAATTAATCGATTTATTTTATGCTCGCGGCGTTGTTCGAATTATAATGTATACGAAACGCGTATCGTGGTTATTTATGTCTGCAAACTTGATTGTTTCAGTGATGGCGCACAAATATTGCGACACGAATGGTACCTGGTTTCGGCATCCGGTGTCCGATCAAGTTTGGAGCAACTATACCACATGCGTCAACTTGAAAGACCTCAATGTAAGTGCGATTTACTGGATACAGAAGGAAAATCAAGTATATGATTTCACGATTGCTAATGTGTTTCTCCTTAAAAAAGTAAGAGATACCGTTCACCAAACAAGTAATTAGATACTTTTAATTTTATCATTTATATTTCTAATTTCAAATGTTAATTACTATGTATTCTATTTAAAAGAGTAAATTTTCCGATGAAAAGAATTTTCTTATTCAATTATTTAAAAAACGTCTTACTTCATAAATGAATAATATGTGAAAATCTGCGACTATGTACATTACCATCCTATGTCATACAAAAGCAAAACAGGGTCACTTTTAATACAAACATTAGAATCAGAAAGTATACTGATGCTTTTCGACCGCGAAATAATACCAGAAATTCAAGGAGGACATTGTCACGAGGATGCATCGTTTTAATTTCTTCGTTGTAATTTGCCGTCGTTTCCTGTCGACCGATCATAAATTGCACTTGTGCGTCGAATATTAAAATTCTTTTGAAAGCGATGCTACAGCGAGAAAAAAACCGTGGACGGCAGGGCAAAATGAACAGATTTTTAGCCGGCGCTTATTGCTTCCGAATTGTTGTCCCTAAATAACGACACTCGCGAAATGAAAAATCCTAGCTTGGTAAATTTTCTCGTTTGCCTTAACATCTGCCTGTAGTTCCCTGTCGACATTATTGCCCGGTTAAATGAGATACCAGTTCGCGTTGCCAATTAATATTCTGTTACCTTCGTATTGGGAATATAATTAGCGAGAAATAACAACTTACCGAACGAAATATAACTACATAATATTATTACAGTACATCCAATAAAATGAAATATATTCGCGGATTTTGCAGACTAATTTTCTATCTATATTATCTATCTATTTTCACCACTATTCGTTCACTTTCGCAGAAAATATTTTTGCGAAATTTTTGCCCATCGTGGTTGTCTCATTTGAGAAGAATTTACGAAAGTTATTAATTTGAATTGACGGTCCACAAATTTTTCATGGTACACGTTCACTGCTATATTCTAGGTCACCGCGTTTATGAACGACGATATCCTTTTCTTTACAACGCTGAAGAGACCTAGTCAGCACACTCATGGAGTTTCCACCCCTTGGGGAATTTACTGGAAAGCTCGCATACGCGTTTCTTTGCTGTCTATAATAAATGCTGTAGCTCGTGCATTGGAAATTATTTGGAATATTATTTTATTATGAAGATACGCTTGAAATTTTATAAAAAAGAATAATATGTTAAAATGTTAAAATGTTAACATTTTAATATTGTAAAATATGAAAACGTCATATGAAACAATTTCTTTAACATAATACACGATAACGTGTATCTGTACTTTACTACTTAATGATTTTGTGATACGAATGAAAAAAGTTACCGAAGAAGTAGGAAGGGCAAGCAATGATCAGACAAACACACAAAATCAATTTACTCGAAACCTGAACCATATTTCTTCATAATATGTCAACTTAGTATTTTTTTACATTTTTTACTGTCGATAACTAAATTTTAAGCGTTACAAGTGTTAATAATATAAAATGAAAAAGAGTTTTTTAATCTTTCCTCTGCAAATAAGAAATAAATTAAGTTAAATTAAATATATTAAATAAAAATTAAAGATATAATTTGAGATATAACAGATGTGGTCTATGTAACACAATCAAAGGGGCCCGTTAATCCTGTTACTACTTTACAACCAATGTATCGACTTTCTAATTTTCAATACAGTTAAAATCTATACACAAGTGATTAACTTATCGAAAATATTCTCCTTTCTTTATACAAAACTACAAAGCTACATACGTTTACAATCAAACAAGCAAAACAGCGTGAAGTTACCTCTATTTTTCAGAAAAATATATTTATTTCAAAAAATGTCTTCCAAAATATTTCCCAAGATATTTCTGAGGAATACATAAACAAATTGTAAAGTACCAAACGGTTTAAACGAACTCTATAAAAGGTAGGTACTTAAGTGCTCACATATGTACATACCTCAGAGCCACTGGAACAAAATGGCGGCGAAGTTCCCCTTCATAATCGAGTTGACAATCGCACTCGAGTTCACTTCGCTGTAACTTCGTGCCCTGGGAGTATTGTTGATCTATGTGGAAACTCTGTCATTGGTTCCTATAGCTCTAAACGATCGTTAGAACCTACATGGAAAATTATTGAACGTCCCAGTGACGAAAACTTCGGGTGGAACTGCAATGAATCATCAAGATCCGGACAAAACGCGGATGAAGACTGTCACGGGGTCTGCATAGCGAACGGGATAGTGGGACCGAAGGGAGCGGTGGGGGGTTCAATGGAATTTCTGGGGAACAAAAGGAACGCAAATGTAATTAGACGCCGCGAAAGCTGACGCGAAGTTCATCTAACTAGTGGCCACGGCTGCGGTATAACTTCCGATCGCCATTAATACGATTGTCCGCGCGTAGCGACTTCTTGCGTTCCATTACACGGTAATCGAAGTTCTCCGTTGCCACGGGCCAATTGTTTCCCACCTGCAGCGCCGCCACTCCCCTCGTGTCGTTTTTGACGGTGATAATCTGCGAATCGGGCTGGGAACAATTGGACATTGTAACATTGTTCCGTATCGGGTGAATAGTTCGACGGACATCATCGTTTTTGATGTAGAGTAATATCTAGGGGATGACCGTACAGGAGATTGACCACTTCAATTTAATTTGAATAAACAACTGACACAATTACAATTGTTTCTTCGTTTGTAATTTAAATTTGTATTGATTGGTCTGTAAAAAAGTAATTGACGTTTATTTATAAATCTGCACTTCTGATTCTTTTGGGTTTCATTTAACACGTTAAATGAATTATTCTACGTCTACGTTTATTCAAGAAGTTAATGATTGATAACAGAAAAATAATATTTAATTTATATTTTTTAAAAAACACATAACATTTAGATTTGTCAAAAGTAGTTTAAAATTTTCGTCGCGAGCCTGACACGATATTGTAGGTCAAGAGGTTGAATGCATTTTAAAGAACATATGGCTGTCTTCATCAGAATATTATCCTAAATGCATTGTTCTGAGTGTCTGAAATTTCAGGTCTTAGAAGTTGGAGTACTTAAACGTTGTAGAGGAACTATTGTATAATGATGTAAAGTTATCCCTTTGCACAGTAGAAATATTCAACGTTATTTTGGGAGATAAGGATGACAGTTTTTAGAAGTAACTTATAACTAAGGGAAATCACATGTGAATTAAGGAACTAGCTATTTTATTTCAATGTTTCGTGTATTGATATGTTATAGAAAATTTAATATTGTACATCAAACTGTATAATTTTGTTTCAAAACAAATGACGACTGAAAGATTCTCGAGTGCAAAGGATTAAAATTGTACTATTGAACACCTAATGATTGTTGATAACACTGTTTATCGTTTCTTGGAACATAATTAATTATATTAAGTAAAAATCGTAAGAATTTGTAAAAAAAGAAAGGAAAATTGATGAAGGACGTGTATATACATATTTATGTATAAGGAAACTGTAGAAAGCTTCAAGATCCATTTACAGAATACAAGGGGCGTGAGACAAAGTTAGTTTCGATATTACAGAACATTCAATTGGAATTTATTTTCCTTTTGTATTTCTAATTATCCACTGTATAGACTATCGGATGAAACGTAACAAATAGCGACCATTTAATCTTCAATTCAAGTGGTATTTTGTAACAGTGTTTAGACGGTAACGGAATCGTGTGTACGTACACACACACAAGTTTCGATATCCGGAGATTACATAATGTCTCGAGTCCATACATTATTCACCAGCTCGCAGCAACTTGCAATGACCGAGACAACATCTCTAAGGATTTTTCTCACGGTCGGAGAACTTTTAAGATCACAGGTTCTCAACTTAGTTTACCAGTAAGAGATTAATCCTAATTCCCGAATTGTCATCAAACGATCTAAATTTTCTAATAATCTGATAACAAATCAGTGATCAGTTACTTCGATTTTGAAAGGTAACAAACTGTATATTTATTTTATTTCAATGTAATTTTCAAATTATATTTGAAGCGATTATCTTCGATCGATTGTAATACAATATTAAATAAAAAATTAAATGCAAAATAATAAGGCGACAAGGTAATGCCACAGAAACGTGTGAATCCACGTAGAGAACGCAAACAAGGAAATAAAGGAAACGCGTAAGATGAAACGGTTTAGTAGATGGATGGGGGAGGCATTCATTTTACGAGGATATAAGAATGAAAACTATACGGTCGCGTAAAGGAACTTCGATAACCCTTAGGTTTCAGTACGTCTGCGAATAAAATAAATTTTACAACCCCGTATTTCCTCATTTGTGTACTGAAATTTTATGCTCGCAGCAGGACAGCGAACGCACAGGGAGAATCGAATTTTCCTGTACGAACTGTGAAGGAAAGAGCGTTTAATTTCGCTTGCTACATAATAATATATTCTCATTTGGACATGGAGAAAAATCGTTCCATGAAAATTAGTTGTAGAGAGAACATAAATGAGAGTGCATTAAGATTCTACTAAAAGATTGTGGAATGCGCTTAAGGTATTCTGAGAAGTTCTGTTTGTAGAGAAAATAATCGAAGTTCAGAATGTAAAGAATCATATTTTGATAAGAAAATTCGCAGATTTTCGTAAGTGAAAAAATGATATATTTTAAAGTTTTATTCAATTATGATATTAAACCTGAAAGTAAACCGAATCGTGAGCGATATTGCAATTGCATTAAAGTTTTAACAGTTCTCTATATTGCGACAAATTATGCTTGTCACCTTCGACACATTGATGTATCTCCAGATTACGATTGATTTCCTTCGCAGCTTCCTCTTGTTAAGTTATATAATCCTGCAATACAGTAATTAATTTTGATTCCAGTGGCAGCAGGGGATTAATGGAATTTACGAAGCCGGGTACGCGATATCGCTCATAGCGCTGCTGCTATCATTGGCTATTCTCACGTATTTCCGGTGAGTCGATTGCATGTGCTACTTTCTCCGCTGAAGTAAAACCAATATTCGCTATTTTTTAAACTATTTGCACTCGAGAGGTGACTCTCGATCACCATTTAATTTGATATAGCAAAATTATATGATCCTATATGTAATATTGTATAACGCAACGATATGCAGAATATTGAAATAAAATAGCTTTGTTTCTCCATTTGCGTATACTTTCTCATTAGTTAATTTCAAAGAATGTCATCTATGTCTCATCGGAAAATATTGAATATTTCTGGTGGAAAATTTTCGAGTGCAAAGGGTTAATTTTAAGGGTTAATAAAGGGTTAATAAAGCATTCCTTCCTTCGAAATATTTACACAATCCATATGAACCAAGAAAAAAGAAAACAATTCTACAATTAGCTCGAAAAATATTCATGTTTAACTTATTCAGAAAACAATGTATTAAACGAAACATATTGATTCTGTACCTTTGAGTTGGTTTTTCATGTAGAAACACTGTATTCCCGGTTAGACTGTCAATTATAATACCCCCTGTACATTTGGAAATTGTTATGAGTTCGGTAGCAGATACTTTATCTTTCTATTGTATCCCGAAACTCTTGACTTGCATGAACGGTTGCTTACCAGCGATACTTTTAACGAACAAATACATCTGTACACCTCTGCAATCCCAAATGCACATGCTGCCATTGTTTTTATTATTCCCTTCTGAATGCAGATCCCTGAGATGCGCGAGGATCACTCTCCATATGAACCTGTTCGCTTCGTTCGCCGTGAACAACGCTCTTTGGCTGGTGTGGTACAGGTGCATCGTCGCGAACACGGATTTACTATTGAACAATGGGGTACGCGCCACACTATTCTTGTGTTAATTGTTTCTCGTAAACTGTCTATTAATAGCCTCCAAACTCCACTTCACAATGCGAATTTCACGTATTCGTAGCGTCCACAAATATTTCAAGTTTAACCCGTTGCCCTACGACTGATTGCTCAATTATGATTGATACCACTATTTTGCCATTAATAATTTAAAAAAGAGAAAAATTCTAGGCGTATTTTATGTTTAGGTTTGCTTTAATGTATCATTATAACAGAAGAATATTTCATTTGAATTCAAAAGAGTTGAGTAATATTTACGCTTGTTAAATTCTCTTTAAAATCTTTACCATTAGTCTGACACACAAATAGGATATCACGCTCAGCATAGGAATTAAATTCCTTCGCGTAGTTCTGTCAATTTTAAATGGAACTGCTACAATAATTATTACTGTGAAATGAAATAATCAATACGAACATGCTGATGATTATTACTTCAAGTTTGAATATTACCGTGATACGTGCACTAAAACGAAACAAAGCTTCAGTTTTAAATAGAATCAACACGAACAGTACGATGTATAACATCTGTACTTGCCATCTCGTTAACTGTTAATCAATTAACGTTTCTGCAGAACCACCTACGTATAATGTTATCCGCAGGTTTCACCAGCAAGCTTCTAATGGACGAAACTGCACAGCCGAAAATCGCATTCAATATTTACGTTTCCAGATAATTTGCCGTCTCCTGCACATTATCCTGCACTACTTTTTGCTCACTAATTACGCCTGGATGTTGTGCGAGGGTTTTTACCTTCACACCCTTCTCGTCAGTGCTTTCACCAGCGAGCACAAGTTGGTGAAGTGGCTGATGGCGCTCGGGTGGCCGGTACCCGCGGTCATCGTCACAATTTATGCCTGTTTGAGGGCGTTAAGCGATGATCCGGCGGACACCGAACAGTAAGTACGCCAAAAACTAAACTGAAACTCCGACAACGGAGAAATCTATGGTAAAATTAACTTCGGAAAGTGTGTCAACAACTTTTTGGACCCAAGCAAACAGATCGAAAGTAATTAACCCCTTGCACTATGATTTCTTTTGCAACTGCGCTCAACAGAACTATTTTACTGTTCATAATTCGTAATTCAAAAAAAATTGTACACTTATTCTGCTCTTAAGTCATAATTAACGATAGAAAAATAATATTCAATTTGGATTTAACACTAAAACTACCGGACGGATGAAATCGATCCATGTCAGAATTTTTATTTTGCATATAAATTATGACTAGGAGACTCAAGGGATGTGTTGTTCTAATTTTTATAAAAAATTGGAGGTATATTGTTATAATTTGTCGGTAGTTTTAGTGTTAAAGGAATTCACTGGCATGTATATTTGTTAAATTTTATTTCAAATCTTTGTCGAGAGTCTGCCACAGTATAATATGGTAAGGTGTTAAATATACTCTTTCCAAAATAATTCCTTTTAATAATGTTTGATTATCCGAGCAGCGAGTTCGTTTAACAGCACTAATAAGCTACATACAGCTGAACAACTTTCAATCCAATCGATCCCGAGGAACTTTTTTTCATTCTGTCTGTGAATTTCACGTTTCGATCACTTAAGGTAACAGGAGGTTATAAATTCCCGTGAGATCAGTGCGCGCTGAGCACTCTTAGCAGAGCACACACGTATTTGCATTCTGCTTGAAAAATTCAACGTCACGACTCAGAGTCGAGATATTTGTTCGTCGGGCAAGGCTCGATCAATTTTCTGTAATAACATTCAATTTCGCGTTCACCGACCACCGATAAACTCTCACGGAACATTTCCATGACGTATAAGAAATTATTTAGTGACTACTTCAACGGTTATTGGTTTCGTTTAACATGTTGTGGCCGCGTGTCACGTGTGTGTGACTTACCGATTATCATTGCTATGGTGATATTGATAAATGAAGTTCGTTCCAATCTTCATCTGTGACTTTGCAAAACAATGAAAAAACGGAAGATGTGCTTGGTCCGGCATTAACTTTTATTATTTTCAGTTTTTATAACAGTTAACGCTAAACTTATCGCGACCGGTCAAATGACCGGTTTTCAAATTTCATTAAAAATTCCGCATTTTCTTTTATCCATTTAACTTAATATTAGTTCTTATATTGCCCGATGAATCAGTTTTTTTCATTGTCTTTCCTTTTGTTTCTGTTCTGACTAAGAAAGATTTATCATTTAATTTGTTTACTTTTATTTTATAACCAGTTATTTGACCGGTTACGGTAGAAATAGGTGTATATAAAGTATCGGTACGTTTAGTGCTAATCCGCTCTTTAGTCTACCAGTGTGTGGTACAGCTCCATAATTTTTTAAATCATCCAAACATATAAATATTGTAAATGCCGTATACGTTGCATTCAAAACCGACACACTACTACGTGGTGTTGTTCTGAAATTTGTGAAACTCACGACAAAAATCCGATAGGTTTATGCGTAGATACTTGTTCTAAAAGTACCATAAAATATGAATAAATTCCTCCAAAAAGTGTATGTACTTATTTGTTACTAACGCATTTCATTGGCTTTTTGCATATTAATGTATCATATGTGTGTATCGCATGGTATACGACAGTGTCGCTCTATATATCAGCGTCACAGATACACTGCCGGTCAAAAGTTGGGGATCAATACATCAGTTAAAAGAAAAACTTCCATGTTTTATAAACAACTTTTATTGGGGATTCTTGTTATGATAAAGGAACATGGACATATGTGTATTAGTCAAATAAAAAAATATATAAATTTTCTTATTTTATATCGTATATTTATAAGATATAATAATCTTTAACACTTTGTACTTGGAAGTTTCTCACTAGATATTTTTAACATTTTTTGACGAGATGAAGACGATATTCCTTGAAACTGACTCGAAGGGAAATCAGAAGTATGTTAAGGAACAAAGCTATTTTATTCCAATATTTCACGTATCAAGGCATTATATAAAATTCAACATTAAATGTCAGATTTTATAGTTTTACCGCGTCAAATCAAATGATGACTGGGAGTCGCCATCTGAGTGCAAAGGGTTAATTTGTGACATTACCAATCAAGTGGTCTCAAACTTTTGACTGGCAATGATGTGACGCTTATTGAAAATGCTTCGTTTGGCTTAGTTATCATGTTTTATAGAAGTACAAGTTGTATGAGTAACATATTCCGTAAAATGATTGCAAAAGAAGCACGGTCCACTGCAAGGCGATTTCCAATATGACCTCGATCGCGGACGTGTTAAAAAGGTCGTTCGCGGTGCAAAAAGAGATACACGTTTTTCGGCATGGAGCCGAACTAGGATTGATAGTAGCTTTGCCCGACGGCGAACACTTGCGACCGCGATGACAACAAACAATAATGAAACGCGGTGGAATAAAAACATTTCAAAGCGGACGAGCACAATGAAAAAATAATAGATAACGTGAACCGCCATCGGCCGCTCTCCCGAAAACAGACGGATCAAGTACTTTTTTTAATCAAACGAAAATCCATTTTATTTGGATTCGTTTTATGCGAATAAAAATCGCGTAAATAGAATTTGTCGGTACAAGAGAAAACAGAATATTAGAAAGAAAAACTGATATAAGTTTTAGAAATATGTATTTATTCCATACAGCCAAACGAAAGAAATAATAATAATGACATTTCAGGAAACAAAAGTACGTTTTATTCGGTGTTACTAAATTCAGATCGCGCATAGAAACTACCCCGTAAACAGTGTTCTGATTTACCGCTTGGAAAAGTGACTCGCGTAAAAATGTGCCGCATAAATTGAAGGCCGAGTGTGAAGCTAAACATCGGTGAATTATGGAGTTTGTTTTCGAATATTGATATGTCGAGAACGACGCGAGAATTGTGGAAAATGCAAAAATGTAGCTTTAATGGAAAACTGTCAAGGACGTAATCGGTGGAAATTAATAGCCGGCCCGCGCTGAAGCAACACAAGCGCGATATCAATCGATAAAATACTAAAACAGATCGCGCAGGGGAATGGAAAATGGACAAATGTTTAATGCAAAGCGTCCGATTGAGTTGGGCAATATTGTTGTGAAGAGTTATCTTGATCGCCGAGGTTTTCACCTACGGCAATTCCGAGTGACATCGCCTGATGTCATCTACATTGTCAAATATCTATATTTTCAGTTATTTTCAATGGTATACAGAATCTTGCACAGAAGTCTATTTAATACGTTGACTGTCACGAGAAACTTCAACATTTTATCTGTCATTTATCCTTTTTTAGCAAAAATAAAAAGAAACAATTATTAATCATTCGTTATCACGATTCTTACGTGACATTATCATCTAGTTATTTACACTATTGATTATTTTCGTTCGACGTAAATTATTTTACAAATAATAATTGTTTTCAAGTAATTTGGAAGCTTCTATCACCGGTAACCACCATAAACATATTTCCTTTTCGTTAGATGTTAACACTACAACCACTGTACCAGTAAAAATGATTGGTTTCCACTTTTTGTTTCGCAATTGTTGATATCTTCAAAGCACTGAATATTCAAAATGATCTTGAAAATAAACAGTTTCACTTGAATACTATGATGAATATCTGAAGAAACTGAAAATAATCTACTATTACAATTTTTATAGTAATTACATATGAATCGTATTAAATGCTCGGTAATTCTAGTGTTAATGATAACTACGATGCAATATTTCTTTTTAACAAAGGTAGGCCACCTGTCCCCGACTGAACAAAACACCGAATGTACAATCTTAATGAGAATATTCGATTGGTTTCTGTCCTGTAAAAATGAAATTAAAACCTTTAAGAACTCCCTTTCATCAAATTAAAGGCGACCTGGGCTGATATTACTTATCTTCGCCCTCGAATTGGAGCTCATAGGAAGTTTATCCGGGCAGTATCCGGCAGAAGTGTCGGCACAGGACAGTGTCGTTACGAAAATTGTCGGTGGCGGTGTATTATATGGTCGTGAGGCAGCTCACGAAATCCCGGGGAAAACCGCAACACCATAACAGTCACGGGTAGGGGATGGGGCGGCTATGTTCAGCGTCGAGCGACCGTGTCGCGTTGATTTCCTATTGTGCGGTGGCGGTCGCAGGGGATTCGCGACGAAGCCAGACACTACGGTGACACCCGGTACATTGGACAGCCTCGTAGTAGGTTGCAGCACGCGCGTAACGATAGGGTCAAAACCGAAGCTATATTGAGTTATCGTCTGATGACAGCTCCGAAATCCGTGACGAACAAAGGGGCCCAGCAGCACTGAATTAATGAGTATCGCAATGGTCCTGCCAACGTTAATTGATCTACGCCCTAGACGCATAGTCTAAGTGATTTAGGCTTCTAGGGGATTAACGAACTTACCGAGATTACTCGATTGATTTTTCTGTTTCGGGAGGACCACCGATTTGCCTTAATTGTTTTCGGGACGGTGAAAATCTCATTTGGAATCTTAGGGGATAACGATAAACTCGAACATAATCGCGTGGAAAGGTATTAATAAGGCACGCGTTTAGGTAATCCGGTGGAAAATTCGTAAGATTGAGGTTCTTAACCTCTTGTACTCTGATTTCTTTTATAATTCGATGTAACTATTTTATTATTCATAATTAGAAAAGAAAAAAATTCTATGCTCATTACATGTCTATGGTTATTATAAAATACCACACTTGATAAGGGGAGAATAGTATTTAATTTGAAAGAATTAAGTGACATTCATATTTAGTAAAGATGTAGTAATATATTTACTAAGTTATATATTTAATAGATGTTTAGTAATATATTTACTAAATTCTGTTTGAAATCTTTGCCATGAATCTGACACGATATTGTAGAGCAAGGGGTTAAGATTCTCCTTCGAGATCTGATATGATATGAAACTGTGGAAATCTTTATAATTTTACTTCAGAAGGAAGTAAAAGGGGTGTAAGATTAGACAACATTTAAGGACATTACGACCGAAACTTTGTTACTGTTTTCGCGCGAGGGTGGTGTATAAGCAATGTATGTAAGTGCACGCCACACCCTCAAACTTTGCGAATTGTAAAGAGTGCAACGTTAACTGTGCAAGTAGGAATTTAGTTTTAAAAAGTTGCGGCCTTTTTTAAGTGGCGCTTCAAAGTTTCACGTATAACGAGGCAGTAGCTCCCGGAGAAACTTACCCCATGCATCGATAATGATCGCAGATGTTGGATCAACGAGGGCAACTACATGAATGCGCTAGTTTACCCAGTCTGCGTTTCTACCCTTCTAAATCTGCTGTTCCTCTTCAACATCGTGAGGGTTCTATTGATGAAGCTGAGGGCAGGCCCTACGATTGGTACACGACCATCGAGGTCCATGCGGCAAGCTTTTAGGTAATTATATCCCTAATCAGATTTTAAGCTCGGCGTTATACAAAGCACTTAGTTTAAATCGATTCAATAAATTTCCCTCTATAATTTTAATGATAAAACAAACTACGCGGATAGAAAATTGACTGGGTTGATAAATATAATTAATATGATAATTAAATTATGAATTTTATGCATGGACGAAACATGCAAGTTTGCATGATTTTATCTTGTTCCCAGCTTACCCTCTAATTTTCGTAGAACGTTATTGAACGATGGAAACTTTCAACAAACATTCGTATTTTATTTGTCCTTAACATCGTTACTTTTACTTGGTGTACATTATACGTGCTTCATGACAGGAATATTGTTTGTCGTATAAAAATAGTGCTACCATTATTTATATGCATCATTGTTCAGTATTAGCTGGTTCCAACTGGCCTCACTAAACCTTCATGGTTTAATGGTTTCGCTTTTTTCCAGGGCGACGCTGCTTCTGGTGCCACTTTTGGGTTTACATTATTTGGTGATCCCCTTCAGACCGCCGAAGGACCACCCGTGGGAGCAATTTTACGAGGTTCTTTCTGCAATCACGGCCTCTTTTCAGGTAAATTCAATGTTTTCCCGGATGCTACATGCTCATTTCACGGAACATTTAAGTTGAACCTTTGACAGTAAAAAATGTTTCAAAAATGTCTTGAATATTTCATCAAATCGTTAAACCGTTTAAGTGAAATAATAGAAAAATTAATAAAATATTAAAATAAATCAATAATATAACAAAACTGACAGTATCATACTCATTTAATTGTTAATTCCAAATGAATTTTGCTTCACAGGGACTCTGCGTCGCCATTTTATTCTGTTTCTGCAACGGTGAGGTGAGTCACCAAGTCTCCGAGCGTCATTACATTTCTAATTAACTGAAACACAGTGTACAGACATTTTCATTAATAAAATGGTGTTCGTTCGTAGGTAATAGCGCAGTTCAAGAGGAAATGGGAAGGCACGGCTCTTCTGCGAAATCGAGCCAATTCTTGCACGGCCACGACCGTCTCGGTACGGCAAATTCACAAAACATAGACATCCACGATTCCGTAGAAATGAAAACATCTTAATCAAACATCATTTGCACGTTTCATGTTTTCTTCCGCCTGTTTCACATCCGTGCTCCACTGTCATAATTCGCGAGCATCAATATTCATATTGCTACACTGCTTCTATTCATCATCGGCGACACACGTGACATCGATCTGTGTTTCGACTTGCGAAACCCTGTTTCACGTGTGTACCATTGTTCAAACATTTTTATTTTTGTCTTTTTTTCTTCTCGTGTAGAGAAGAAATAATGCATATCAATTTTTCAATTTTCAAATTTTCTCCTAACTCGTTGTAGGTTGCTTGTTAAGTTTTCAAGTTGGAACATTTTATAAAATAAATTATCGTCTTCTTTACGAAACCGTTTTTTACGAAACCGTAAATTTCGGATTCATAATCAGCGCAATTTTTTACAGCGCGTTCATTGAATTGTTGGGGAAGTAGAATGTAGTAAATCTGGACGCTGTACAGTGTATGAATGAAGTTTGAAAAATTACTGTGTGCTGTAACGTAATAAATCGTGGAGATTACTTTGTACATAGCTCTTCATTTTAATTATACTTTCGCTCTGCCGACTGCACGTTACGGATATCTCCCCATATATTTTTGAAATCTATAGATTTGCCTTTGCAAAATCGATCCCAAGAGACAGTCCGGCCATTATGAACGTCCGCATGGCTTCAGAAAAATGTTCTTCCGCGCTGTGAGAATGATTTAATCCGACCATGATAATAACGTTCAAAATTTTACGTACAATCCGATACTGTATCGCGAAATCACGGCTCGCTGTACAATTTTTCAGTGCTTTATTAAAAGGAACAATTTTTGCTTTCATATAGTACGTCGATAAACGTTTCAATGGCCAATCAAAAATAAATTATTTGGTTCAACCCACTCCGTTACGCTGCTTCCCATCACTTCATCGTCAACAACTTTGAGCGACCGCTTGATCTGCGATATGAAAGAATCGTCGCACTTTCATCATTTCAGCACTTCAATTCCTACCTTTTCATCGCAAGCTTTCATTTTTTTTAGTTCTCTATGCATCGAGCGTTACTATAACTGGGTCACCGGAAAAGTTGTCCTAAGATATCTTCGAACAGTGGAACTGAAGAAAAGTTCTTTTCCACGCTTTCATTTTTTTTTTCATCAGACTTGGCTAACTTTAGTTCATTGAAAAAACGTAATAACACCGTCAATGAACTTTATCGATGGTGATATATTTAGAACGTCAATAACCGAATTAAAAAATAAACAAATGTTAAAACCTCAATTTCAAACCATTATCGATCGTAAATAAGATTTTATCGATCCCATAGCTACAAGTTACCTATAAAATGACCACTTTCCATTTCGAGCTGAGTTCTCAAAATGAGTAACGAACCACTTAACTATAGTTCAAAGTAGCATTTGCGTCTATTAATTCCCAGCAGCAATGAATAGATGAATATTTATGTAGATAATTTAAGCGGCGACCCAGTTACAGTTTCATAGGCTGTCAGTCCCAGGCCATTAGTAGCAATACTTAATTACTCGTTGGTCGCGCATTGTTCGAATCCGACGCATTTATAATCACGATTTTATGCGTACCATCCGTTCAGCGGCCGTTTCTTCTCAAGATTCGGCATAGACAGCGTGACAGGTGCAAACGCGACACGTCACCAAGGTAGAAACGCGAATGCACGGCTGGTCAATGGTGCGATGCGGACCGGGTAGACCCAGCAAACCGATACTAACACATCGGTCCAACTCCTAACCACTTAGTACCCCTGAATCGAACCGTACAGTACCGGCAATTGAACTTACTAACAAGTAGCGTGTGTCTAGAGAGCGAACGAGAGAGAGAGGGAGAGAGTTGTCCGTGTCGTGCCAATGACAAACGTGCCCGAAGTCAAGTCCATCTTGGGACGTTGACTGTTTCAGTTTATCCGCTCGACCGCAGGTCCGATGGCGGGAGAGGAGAAGGTGTGACTATCAGTCGCCCGCGCCGGAACAACTCGATGGGAAGCACGCGGATAATCGACAAACCGTACAGCTGATCGCCACCAATAATCTCGACGATCATCCCCAACTGTTGATCAAGCCCAAGGACAAGAATAACTATGAGCAGACGCAATGTTGATGAACCCGGTGGGACTAGTGGACTGTGAGGGCGTCCGGGTGACCGCTGGACGTCATTGAAGAATAGAACTTAATGGTGCGAGAAACATCGGTGAACCATGTGTTATCTTTTTCTAAGGGAGTCTGATCTTGGAAGGACGTTGATCGAAGATCAGAATGATTGCAAAGGATTAGGCTTATTCCTTCAGATGACTTGTGATTTTCTGTAATGGACGGTGGCTGATGAAAAGACGGTCAGAATAGAAGACTTGGCAAACATGAAAGTATGAATGTGATGGAGTATTTTGTTGGAAAGTTTGTTTAGTGAAAACGCAAAAAGTATGAACGCTTCGCGGTATTCGATCTGTTTAGGGGTTGCGAACTATTGGAGCGTGGAAGGAAAGAAACTCAAGAAAATATTGAATATTGACAGATTATGTAATGCTTGCAGTAGTTTTGCTTTTAATGGTTTTCGGTGAAATATTGTTTACAGAATGGAGCTATAAAATCTATGAAATGTATGTATGAAAAGATTAAGTAATATGGTATAATTAGTATAGGATTGATTTAGGAAAATTATTAAGATGCTCTTGACAAAATGAGATATTTGATATTTTTGGAACAGCGTTGAAATGAAATGACAGATGGAAATCAGAGATATTGTCTTTATGTACATGTAAATTACATTACCGAGTAATCTATTAATAATCGTTGTTTAAATCTGTAAAAATAAAATTTATCGAAAAAATCTGTAGATTGTAAATATATTGAAAAAATATATAATTGAAGGTAACATTATTAATTCTACACAGATTTAGTTAACTCAATATTTCAAATTTTATTTCGTTAATTTCTTCAGCGCGCAGATACGTATTCTTCTCATATATTAATTAATATATAACTAAAATAATTTTCTACAAACCACAAATAAATCTCCGAGAAAAGTATAATAACTGATTGGCTGCTCATTGGTACTTATGCAATAGGCAAGGAATTTCATATTAAGCAATACAACGATTCTTAATTTGCGTATAATAAATCAAAATTATAGAATAAGGAAATACTATGTAATTACAACAGTATCATATTTGAGCTTAATTAATTTCCCGGTATTATTTCCAAAAAATACATTTTTTGTTTAATAAAGAAAGTAATAATTAATGCAATTTTATCACGTAATTTTTATACGTAAGCAATTTTGTAAACGAACATTTATTGGAGATGTATTTAATTTTGAGAAAATACTAAATAAGCAAGAAGATGTACAGATATAAAAGTTTTTGGCTCACACTGATAGTAAAATTAATTTCGCCATCCACCGATTAACATTTGAAGAAAATTATTTTACTATTGTTAATATTTGAAAAATAAAAATTATTTAGGAAAAAGGGGAAGCTATAATAATATATTTCATATATTAATATTATAAATAAAATTAACAAACATTTTAACAATCTTGTTACTAAAAATATTTAGTCTTAATTAATATATGCCTTTACATGGACGGTTCCCAAACACTAATAAATATAGATCAGAATTTCATTTTTTAATCTTATATATTCCAATATTATAATAGTAATAATAAAACATAAAATATAGTTAGAACAATGTAAAAAATTAACATAAAATATTATTATATGTTACAGAGAAAAATGATTTTATCAACATCCAGACCTTCAAAAAGTACTTTAACTATTGATAATTCAGAATTGTGTATACAGTAGTACCCACTTAATGTTCATAAAATCGTGTCTACGGCACAAATTTAATTCGGGGAGGTAGGTATCGTAAGAATTGCGGAATTGTATTATTGCATTTTACTATTATAACTATTATTTTTATTTTTATTATTACTATTAATTTCTGCATTATTATAGAATACCTACAAATTTGTACCCATATTTATACGTACATTTTGTACGTACATTCATGATTTAACATTATCATTGGCATTACAATAATTTGCAGAGATATTGAAAAATCCAATTAAAATTTTTATTTCTATATAATACATTCGTATTATTTAGATTTATTCAAATATGGTCATGATTAGTGATATTTTCACAGTCAATATTTTGCTTTAAAAAATTTTGTCTTCTTCATTTTGATGACTCTTTGCTTGCTGAGGTATTACTGATTACAAGTCTGAAGTAACACAGACACTGGCTCAGAAGAAACGCTGCCAAAAAATGATTGGAATGACTCCATGAACATTAAATTAGCGCAACTGTATAAATAAATTTATATCTGGAAATTAAAGTATACACTTTCATAAACATATGCTTAATGAAATGCTTAAATAAATATCTATATTCAGATAAATATCCAATTAATTAAACATTATAATTGTATTATATTTAATTAATTCAATATTTATCTGTAGTAAATACTTATTCAAATTTTCAATTACACATTGCTTCGTTCAGTTAAATAAATACTTTTAAGGCCAAACTAAGTTTGCTATTCTAGGTAAAGTGAGAGCGACCGCAACGCTTGATAAAAGATTAACACTGTGATTATCCAAAATTTGTCTACCACAAATGTATTTTACTCCTTTCCCAGGACGTTCAACCACCACTCGATTCTCATTAATTCCTATAGTGGAAAATAAAATTTTAAATATCACTGCATAATATGGAACACACAGTCTCAACTTAAACAAAATTTACCAGAATATTGTAAAGTAGCTCCTAGTATAGAATCTATAATGCTACCAACAAGACCTCCAATACCTCCAATAAGAATAACTGGCCATTGTGGTGCAGCTACTTGAAGTACAGCGGTGTCTACAGTATATAGTACGGTAAAGTAATAAAATAACCCCACAAGCAATCCGCCGAGCGCGGAAACCAAAAGACCTACCCAGGAGACACCACCATTTGTTCCTATAAACATAAACAAGTACTTTTGCAAGAACAATTAATTTTTGTAATTTCAGTATCTTTACCTCTTGGCACTCTTTTTCTGGAGGTAATCAAAAAAGGGTCACTGGTACCGACAACTGTTCCAATTTCTGAAGCCCAGGTATCTCCATTACAACATGCGAAAGCTCCTAAATCACAAATAATTAAAATATTACTCCAATGTGTCATTTCATAAGACCTGGAAATTTAATTCATAAAGTCAAATACCTTTATTTCGATTAGACATACCTAAAATTCCAATTGACAGCCAAGAACTCCTATAATTCTTATCAAAATCTATAGGTCGTTCGCCACAACCAACATCCAATAAATATATAAGTGCTAATTGTGTTGCCATACCACCATTACATAAAACTTGAATCCAATTTCTTTGGCCACCTTCCTTAAAATCTGCTTCAAGTTTTCTCTTTTTGTGTGAACGAAACTTTGTTGCTTTGGAAGATGAAATAAAGAATGCAAAGAGACAAGCCAAATGAGTGTAACTTGTAAGCGTCAAAATAAAACCCATAAAAAATCCTGCAATACAATGTGCAATTACAATTTTAGACTGTATAAGAATCTATGAAGTCAAACTTTCACAAAATAATTATTATACTTCTAATGTAAAATGTGCATGTCAATAAATGTTTCATTTTATAAGAAATTATACTTTTATATATAAGTCTTACATCATTTTATTTTAATCTTCAATATTTAGAAATTATTTCAATAAATTTTATGCAAAAGTTTTTTGTTTATAATGTAGAACTACAATTCATTATAATTTCCTTCCATTTAAAACAATAAATATATTTGATTACCAAGGATAGCGCCAGTAATATCTATGCTTTTCTTTTTTAAGCCCCAAAATGCTACAAACAGAGGAACCAAGACAACTGCCAACCATCTCCATGGTGATATCACCAAGTACTCTAAAAATAAAAGAGGTTATTCAAATCAAAACATTCGAGACAAAATCACAATTATAACAAAAAAACGATGTTCTAAATATGTACCTTCGAAGTGATTATCACTATCTGGATGAAATGTTGAATAGGCTACATTTACGAACCAAAAAAGCATAGAAATTGGAATTGCACAAGCACTAAGAAGAACCGGCATCAACACATGAGACCGTTGATTCTCCATTTTCGTCTTCGAAAACATGTTTTACTCGATAATAAATTAATTTTACATACTAATTTTAATTCGATTGACTCAATAACTGAATCTGGTTGGTAATGTAAAGGAAGTATCAAAAAATACGTGGTAAGTTAACAGAACAACCACATCCCATATGTCTATGCACTACACATGCACGATACCTGTTTACATTTACATACTACTGAACAAAAAGATACCGTATACGCCATTATCATTAATTTGTCGTATATATTCAGAATTATTCTAATTTATTTGAAATTGACATTACTGTCCGCAAATGTTACGAACATTTTTAAGTTGAAACTATATTTCTTAAACAAAGAAACTAAATGAGAGCTGTTGTTTTATGCGTATGAACATTGCATTACTAAGCAATCTATTAATAATCGTTTAAATCTATGAAAATAAAATTTATTGAAATGAGCTGTTGATTGTAAATATAGTTAAAAAAATATATAAATGAAGGCAACATTATTAATTCTACACAGATTTACTTAACTCAATATTTACAGTTTTATTTCGTCATAAAGAATAACGTAATAACTAATCGACCATTAATTGGTACTAACGTAATAGGCAAGGAGTTTCATATTAAGCAATATCATTCAAAATTTATGTATAAGAAATTAAAATTAGAGAATAACGAAATACTATGTAATTACAATGGTATCTTATTTGAACTTAACTAATTTTTCGGGAATATTTTCAAAGAATACACTCTTCGTTTAATAAAGATAATAATAATTAATACAATTATGTTACGTAATTTTTATACATAAATAATTTTGTAAACGAACATTCATTGGAGATGTATGTAATTTCGTTAAAATACTAAATAAACCAGATGTACATACATATATAAAAGATTTTGATTCGCACTAATGACTCGTAAGAATTGTTTAAGAAAAAGCAAAAGTTATAATCATATTTTTCATGTATTAATATTATAAATAAAATTAACAAACGTTCTAACAGTCTTGTTTTTATTTTTATTATTATTAGTCCCTGCATTATTACAAGATACCTACAAATTTGTACCCACATTTTCATGTACATTTTGTACCTATATTCATGATTAACATTATTATTGGCATTACGATAATTGACAGAGACATGGAAATATCCATTTTTTTTTAAGCCCCAAAATGCTACAGAGGGACCAAAACAACTGCCAACCATCTCCATAGTGATATTACTAAGTGCTCTAAAAATAAAAGAGACTATTTGAATTAAAATATTCGAATAAAAAAAATACAATTATAACAATAAAAAGATACTTTAAATCCGTACCTTCGAAGTGATTATTACTATCTGAATGAAATGTTGAATAGGTTACATTTACCCATCAAAAATGCATAAAAATTGGAATTGCACAGGTACTAAGGAGAACCGGCATCAACTCGTGAGATCGTTGATTCTGCATTTTCGTCCCCGAAAACATGTTTTACTTGACAATAAGAATAAGAATAAAAATAATAATAAAAATACTTAGCGAGGAAAATACAGGGCGGTTATAAAATTGTTTAAATGTTAAAGTACTAATTATAGACATTATATTAATAGAACTAGCAAAAAAATATAGAGAAATATGAAATTTTAAGTTGTCTATGCTTAACAAATGTAATGTGTACAGTAATTAAAAAGTTTGAAATAGGACATAAGAAAGCTTGATTAAAATGATATAAATTTAATGAGAATACCAGAGGTTACATTGAGGTATATACAAAATGAGCTTAATTTAGCAGATAATGATAAATGAAGTTACAAGAAACATGAATAAATTCGAATGTTGCGGCCAGTCATATTTCATGTACATGTACATAAGATGAAGATACTAGTCAAAGAGACCGACGTGACAAAATTATCGATTGTACTACTTCTGATTGGAAACGTATATTCAATATTAAAAATAAGATATATGTGTAACAATTTTCGTTGCGACACATTATTGGAATATACTGTGCTGGTCAATGTAAAAGGTTTATCATCAAGCTTATACACGGTTGAATATGAGCGGCTTTAATAATTGTATTCTATGTATATCTCTAGAAAAATATTTCTATTATGAATACGTATCAACAACAGTAAATATTAACATGTAACAGTTTTCGAGATGTAGTTTTCGCTCGGGTACAGTATCAGTTACAAATGACACATTCTTTTTATATATTTTTTTATCATTTTTGTCACACTTACGGTGGTATTTTTTTCTTATAAATAATCGCTACGACTGTTCAGTACAATTCAGAGTTAATATCGAATAAATGAAAGGCCTGAAATAATTCGCTGAATATCATATAATTAAGTGTAAATGTTAAATTTTATAATCCTCTATATTATTACCAAAAGACTACCAGCCTTTTCGTAATCTGCTCTATGGCAGAAAATTGATTAAAATGCAATATTACATTTTGTAAGACACTTCAACCGGGATATAGAAAACAAAGAACAACAGTTTACTTGCCGCGTAACCAGAAGAGAATTATGGAAAGAAATTAATATTATCATTACGCAAAAAAGTTCTATACAATACGTTGTTTTTCTTATTGTTGAAAATTACATCTACTCCGATCAACATATACATATTTATTTATGATATAAGCCTCTAACATTAAATTGCATAGATAATATCGATAATACAGTTTCTCAACAGTTTTGAGATAATAACGATCCCAATTTCCAGGGACATAATGGCCCTCATAATTATTTCTTTTTAATAATTATCAAAATACAATATGACAAAGAAGAAAATTGATTAAAAGAATATTTTCTGACATGATTAGGCAAAATAAGTCTCTCTGGCGTAGCTTAATAAACTAAAACATAAGTGTTTCCAATGAATAAATTTGCATGTAATGGAAATTACGGTCACATAGAAGCGAATTTCCCGATTCGTCTGCATTTGTTAATAATGTAATCACTTTTCGTGTTTGAAAAATGTAAAACATACAAATCTACTATCTTCAATTTTGTCATAGTTATCGCCGTGTAGAGCTAGCTAGCGCCTATCCGTTTTATTTTTTTATTATTCTTATTATCGTTACTATATATTATAAATAGTTTATAACAGGAGAAGTAATATTACACTATATACAAAGGTATAATCAGGGTCTGACTTCAGGGAACCTAAATATGCAAAACGCAACTGTCAGTTGCATTTCTTCAGTAACAGTCTCAGAGTTTGTATTTCATTCTTTTTTTTTAAATTCTTATTATAGTTTTCAATTAGAACTTAGCCATGTTTTAGTTCTTAAATTATCGAAGCTACCTCACAAAGAGACGCTATTTGAACTGCAATCCGGATACTTTAATAAAGTTTTGTTCACATGCAAAGAAAGGCTACTTAAAGCAATCCCAAAAAGCAATAAGCTTTGTCTCTGTTTCGAGAAGTAAATTGTTAATAGTCTGAAAAATTCGGTCATCGTGTGTCATACTACTGTTTAAGATTGCTTTAATTGGTTTCTTTCACAACTTAATTTGATTAAAGTATCAAAAGTCAGTTCGTACTGTCCTCTTGTAGGCGCAATAAATATACCTATGTGAAATAGATTGAAAAAGTGGTTGTTTCAATCAATAGCAAGAAGTATATATCTATATCTTATTGCTGAAGTTTGAAATTATGAAGTATGAAATTTCGAGAGTGAAAAATCGCTTCAAATACACGCGTATAGTGACTAAAAAATTACACGATCACGTATTATCACCACATGATTCATCTTTATACAAGTCGATTAATAAAGACTAAACTCTTATTTCGTATCTTATGAAATCGATATACCTTCTTCTGGAACTATACTTTCTAGCGGCGCTGGTTCCGCAAATTCACGAACTATTAATTCATCAGCTAGGGATATTACCTGAGAAAAATAAAAACAAAAAATATAACATGAACAATATTCACGAGGTTGTTGAAAATTTGTAAAAATACCTTATACGCAAATGCTTACCCCGTGTTTGTGAATATTAAGATAAAGATTAACGTATGTACTAGTATTAATATAACCTTCAATTTGGGCTTGACCAACAATACCGTTACACATGTGAACAACTACATCATAAGCCTCCTGATTCCACTCACCTAGTGCAAAATATATATGATATACAGGATGATTCATGATATGAAGCTTTTATAGCTTATAATTTACTTTTACTTACCATTCTTCGGTCGTACATTTGCTAGAAATATTTCAATTGCTTGGAATGGCATTGTGAGATAATCTGCCCTAATTTTTTTCATCTCCGCATTACTGAAGTACCAGTAACCGCCATGATCTACGAGTCTTACTAAATGTCGTTCACCGCTAGGATCTGGTTTTTCAACGTATACCCTTACCCATCTATCGAACCACTTTGCAACTAAGATCATACCTTCTGCAAATTACAAAGTATAAGATTCGTATGTATGTTAATTAATTAAATGAATAATTTATTTGTATAAAATTATGTTTAAATACTTTTATAATGTTGCTAAGAAATGTAATAGTGTAGTATACAAACGTACTACTAAGTTCATCTGGAACGGGAGGTGATTCTGTTGTATTATATAATTGTGTCATATTTTCGTCTAAACTCCGCAGAAATGGGTATGTAGGGTGAGTAGGAAGCTGTACGAAAAAATGATTTGGTTTCACTACGTGACACACAACAACATCATTATTTACTCCTTCTACCAAGGATAACTGCATTAGTTCTGTGAGCCATAAGACCTCTGGTTCATTTGTTGGTAAAATTTGTTCAAGGGTCATATGGGGATATTTCTTTTCTGGAAACTTTTGTCGTATCATATCCAGAGCAACGTTAATCCCTTCAGAGGAACCTTCTATGGCACAAACTTTTACATCTCTTGACGTGGGATGACGTTTCACACTGATGTGTACATCTGCTTTAATTCGAATATTTTGTAAGAAATTACCATGATGACCAATTAGTTTTCCTACTAAATTTTGTGGTACACTAAATTCATACGTCACAGGAATTGCGTTGTCCTTCGGGTGACCCTTAATACTACCTCCTAAAACAGAAATAAACTATAGTAATGGTATTTAAAATTTCAATCAAATTTACATTAATTATTAATGTTACCTTTCCCACTGTCGGTGCTTCCTTCGCTTCTAGCTTCGTCTGTAACACTACCTTCTAGAACTCCAGATACTGGACTGTGATTAGCAGAATCTCTTTCGGATAATACTTGCACTTGATTCTTAGCACTATCTTTAGATGGAGTTGTAACAGGTAGCTCTTTGTTTGGGAGATAACTGCATCCAGTGTCCATCCCATTTTCCTCGACTTTATCAACATGCTCTAGTGAATTCTGTTCACATGCTGACTTTTGCACCCCCTCTTCAACAACATTTTCAAATATTTTCATTACTTTGTTACTAGAATCAATAGTATTTTCCAAAGAGGATGCGTTTCTGCTTCTAGCGATCATTTCGAAATTACTTATCTTGGGATTACTACCAAGTTGTATGTCCATTTTGCTCGATGTAGTAGCATCCATGTAATTGTACCATACTTCCTCGTCTCGGGAGGGTGTTCTCGACCGTGTAAAAACAGACTGTGACCCTGACTTCCTCTGAGGAATATCTAAACTTTCGCTTCGTTTTGTAGGGCTACAAATGATCTCTTCTGTTGATTTACTACAACAACTTAAAGAAAATGATTCTTCAATATGTAAGTCAGAATCATAGTAGCTTGAATCGGCTTTCGATGAAGCAGCTTCCTTTTTATAATTGAGATATCTTCTGTCACTGGAATCTGAATTAGGAATTCCACCTGGATCAGCTCTGTCTACTCGACGACGTTTGTACCAAAGGAGACCAATTATAAGTGCAAATGCAGGAAAACTCCACTTCACAAATTGTATGTGAGTAGATGACATGTTTCTGATCCACTGTAGCTGTTGTTGTTGATACACTTTTTATTCTGAAATAAACAAAAGTAGCTTAGGAAAAATCTGTTTGCATTGTAAAACTTATAAATAATTAAAATATAGTTA